TACAATGGGCATGGGCTCATTGAACACCAGTTGTATGCATCACACCCATCACAATAAGCCGGGGTGTGACAAACATGCTCTCCTGCTGGGCATGTTACTGGGCAACCTGCACTCTTTGGATGGCAACTCTGTGTGTGTCCGGCCTGGTCATAGCAAATGAGCTCATCAGCTTCGCAAGTGACCGACACCTTCCTGGCAGCCGCGCCTTCCTCCAAGCGGTGCTTTGTCTGCAAGGCACAGGCTCCTTTCGCATCGAGGTCAGCAACACATACGCTAATCAAGCTGAGAAGAACCAAGAACATTGCCATGGCGAGCAAATGTCCTCGAACAGTTGAAATAGGGCAAGGTATACTGCTTGAAAGCAAGAGATGGCTGCAGTATTTTTCAATGCCTGCCGTCCTCACATGACAAGAAGCTGAATCAGCATCATGTGTCCAACCCTCCACTTGCTCTTGCTGCTTTCCTGCAAACAAACCAAGCTGGGACGCTCAATCTCGTCCAAGGGTCATCTCGGCTGCCAACCAAATCCAACCTTTTCCGTCGTCCTGCGGAGGAGCAGTCGGGCGGGTTGTGACCCAATTCCGGGATTCACACACCCCAAAGTTTGTTTGAGGTAGGTGATGGTAGGTGATTTTGTGTTTGGGGATCTGAACGGAGCTTCCAGAGTCCTCTGAAAACCGTCTCAGGAGAACAAAGGATATAGAAGTATACCACAAGATTCAGACTTCAGGATTCTGAACCATCCTAGTGGTAGGGAATTCTTCTGGTCTTAGTATTCCCAGGATTCCCTGCAGGAATTGCTGTGTGACCAGAAGAACCACTAAGATTCGACCTACCAGGTCCAGGTCCACTTCGCCACTTCCACTTCACTTCGCCACTCTCCGCGCCTCCACTTTCTGCGTCTCGTCCACGCCGTAGCCCACGCCGCCCTTGGTCACCCTGTGCGGCTTCGCCATCTGCTCCTGTGGAAACAGGGCGCGGTGTGCAGAAGGCGACGAAGGCGCGGGCGAAGCAGAGCGAAGCACATCCTGTCCGGGCTTTCCCTGCGAGTCCGGAGTCTTGCTGGGAAAAAGCATGGTGTCCGTGTTTTCCGAGAGGGTACCGTTTTGTTGGCTGCTTTTTTGTGTTGTAAAGGATTCTTGCAACAGTTGCTCGACCAGTTGTCCTCCCTTATAGGCAGGATGTCATCAGTTCGGGAGGTGTTCCCGACCCTATCTGATTGAGAAAAAAATCATGACCGACCTCCTCACCTCATGACTCTGACTTCCTGACCCACCTAGGACCTTCATGGACCTCCTGTGACTGTGTGTCTGCGGCGCCTGCAGGCCCATGAGAGCCACTTCGATGTCCTTCCGGCCGATGGTGCCTGGCGGTCCCACCCGGCAACGGCAAGCCTTGTGACAAGCGAAGAAGAAAACAAACAACGTTCTAAAGATGGAGCACATCTGGTCCAGCTGAGGTGGGTATCACTTTACCATGTCATTGTACCAGTTTGAAGCCTTTCTGAGTATATTCCAGTGACATGATGTTTCTATGTATGTATAGTACCAGTACTACCAACATACTATAACATAATACAATATAGTACAGTATTCCAAAAAACCCTCAGGTCTGGCGCCTTCCACCTCATCCCAAGGTCGGTCCCGCTCCGGGTCACCCGCGGGCCACGCGTGGCGCACCTGGTGGTGGACCTTTCCATTGGCCCGAGTAGCGCCGGAAGCCCTCCGGCAGGAACTCCTCACCACGAGCACAAGGGAGCTGGATGCTGCATGGGTCTTGGGAGCGGGATGGATCCAGAGGTGTGATGCGGGGGAGGAGAAGCTCGCTTTTCAGAGAGAGGCCTTGGTTTTTGGGTTTGGCTATACAGAGATGACGAATTCAAGGTTAGCATTGTTGACCAGTATATCTATAGTACAGTATTCTATAGTGCTTATGTATCTCCTTGTTTGATTCATTTAGCGAGATAAATTTCTTCTTCTGACGTAGACAGTGATATTTTCGAAATCTGTTTGGTTATTTTCAGCTAGACCATTTTTTTGGCGCATGGGAAAGAGAGGCCATTCATACGCTTGCAAATTATAGCTCATTGTGTTCGTCCTCATGACATGTGATAATGCATTTTTGTGGTATTATCTCTGTCTCTGCTTGATTCAGCATGTGCTTTAATGCCAGGGCCGGCCGATTGCATCCTGGTCTGCAAGTTAGAGATGTCCACAACGATATTGAAACAAAATAAAACAGGTCACGGGCCTGCGCAATATTCCTCCTCATTGTCTCCGGGCTCAACATAACCACAGCGTGACCACTAGCGTGACCATTGACAGCAACAGCAAAAACGATCTCGGTGGCAAGAACCTACAAATCCCAGGAGTCACAAGACGGGGTGTTTTTGAGTCCCATCCAGTGAGTGGATAATGGGAACCCCTATCCTGATCCTGACTCCTGGTCACTCTTCCGGCATCACCACACCGCTCGCATTTACGGCCAACACCCCCGGCCCCATGGAAGAACTTCACGATGAGCTCGGAGAGGACCGTGCCTTTCACCGGCTCCCCTGGCGACCAAACGCGTGGCGCCTGCAGATACGCATGTATCTGCAGGCGGTGTGGCGATGAGAAGGAAACTGATGTTGAGGTGGTCGATAGTATAAGTTTCAAGATCTCCAAACCATGACTCTTTGGGGACATTCCCATTCCCTAGAGCTTCTAATACATATACCTTAGCCTTCAAAAACTACTTAAAAAGTTGTTGATCTGGTTCTGTCGTCTAAAATTCTTAGTAAAGCAATAGTTGTTTGGTAAAGGCCATTGAAACAATGGTTCTTTGAATCCCAGGATATATATTGTTTGTGCACAAATCTACATGGACCTTCTGTACTAATCTAATGCATTACGTAACACGCACCCTGGGAGTCAAAGACCATAAAAGGAATAGTCTTTAGGCACCTGAAAGGGACCCTCCTTTTCTGCACTAAGAAAAAAACTATAGTCCTCTGATTCTGGAGTTCAAGGGCGTGGTGTTCGCAAGGCGCCAATGGTGACCGTCGACTCTAGTGAGCGTCAGGCGCGCGCGTCCTCTTCAGAGCCCCGCCCCAACGGCTATCGTTCACCTCCACCACCTGTGAGCAACTTGGCATAGAAGTCCTGAATGTCAGCATCACCTCAGCTTTCGATCAATGCCAACTGTTGCCATGACCGGTGCTGCCACAGGTTGAAAACAAAAAACATGGATAATCAACCACTTCGCCACTGCTCTTGGGTGAAAGTGTTAGCAACACGTCCACCTCATTCTGAAAGAATCAAACATATATATATATATAGCTAAACTGGGATGGTCTCTGGACATGTATGAAGGGGGGTCTCAAAACTTCAATGTTCAGGTGATGGTCTCTGAACATGAAACCAAACAAATGTGTCTTCCCTGAAACATTGTGAAAACCCGCCAGAGAGCATGTATGGAGGAACAAAAACATCCAAAGTTATGATGTCTCCTTTGTGCATGTCTCTCCTGCTGGGCATAAACCAACAACGACTATGCATCATGGCTCAACATGCCCCCAGAACACCAACGCTGGGCACCCTGGCTGACATCATACTCGCCACCGCCCCGTGCCTGTGGCAACTATTGGGATTTGTTCATGAACAACAAAACGGTTGAAAACATCTGAGTCAATGTCGACTCTCTCTCTCTCTCTCTGTGAGGGGGGTTTGGTTTTTACCTTTATCCAAATCTTGCATGCTGCAGATTTTTTTTGCAATGTCATTCATTAATTCTGAACAACTGGCAATTGGTGTTCAGTTGTGTGGTTTCCGCACAATCCCTATGTAAATATATGTCACAATGTAATATAATGTATGTCAATATTGTGGCCCAAACATGTTGACTTGACGGGCCAAGAATAATGTTTGTGTTTGTAAATGTTCCACACCTGAAAATCGGGGGCAGCCCAGGTATCCGATTCTAGTCTTCTCAATCGAACTAGTCTCCAACATTGTCTTCCTATCTTCCATTGTGCCATGTTGATCCATGTTGCCCACTTCTGTTTAGCCAAGGGCAGAATGAATCCATTCATACCCTTCGCGGTGGTGGTGTTTGCCGCCTCCAATGCCAATCCCCTCGACCGCAAAGCAGGCCCCACGGTGGCGCGGGTGCCGCAAAAACACGCCGTCTGCGCGACCAAAAAGCCTCATTGCAGTGAGGGTGCAGCGGTGTGAGAAGCGCAGCCACTGACACCAAAATATATTTAGATCACATGTATGCATAGTATATCGTCATCCTGGTCCTCAATCCTTATAGCCAGAATGATTTACGTCTGACACACACACACACATATACACACATCTGAATCCTTTGTGAGCCGTACCAACACATTTGAACCGCCACTCTCTCTGCTTTTCCCACCACCTGATATCCCCCAGCCGCGCCTCCCAGAACAGCTCCTAGCGCCCAAGCTGTCCGCGCCCTGGCCCGCGCAGGGGGCGCTGCCCCAACCTCTCCCCGTCGAGCCATGGCTGCGGCGGGGCCTCTATGTATACAGGTTCGATGATGATGAGGATGATGAGGATGATGAGGATGACGATGAAGGTGTGTTCACGCTCTTAGCCGACTCAGGAGTCTGGCAGTCGAGAGCGACGACTCTAGCCCGTCAGTCAGCAATGTCAAAGCACAGGGGTGCTTGAAGGAGGATCTGACTTGGCCCTACTTGCACTGGAACCTTGAGCAAAAGAAATTGATTCCGGACTTATGAGAAAGTTACCAGCAAAGAGAGGATGATTGGCTTCGCCAGTGGTGATGCAAAGGATCCGATGCATGAGCCAAAATGGGAAACTTGTCCAGCGTCTTAGCAGCACTTGTCAGTCTTTGTGCGCTCTGCGCTTGAAGAAACTGCGGAAAGATTGTTGGATGATGGTTGAAGATTTTTACAACTCCTGCGGCCGCTGGCCGGCCAGCCACCGCTGACCTGCTGACCGCCAGTGAATTTGCACCACTTGTTGACCTACTCCCATCTCACTTTTTTAGCAACATGTGGCAAGCACATGGGGAACACTGCCTTTTCAGCGACAGCCAGTTCAGCTGCAAGAGCTGGTTGATGAGCTCCCAAAATCCGCTTGCAATCTTTGTGAACGAGACCCTTGAAGGTGCAGAATTCTCGCCACCTTTCACATCAACCTTCCAACAGAACCCTTCTAAAGCACCAAGATTCCTTGGTGCTGTTGGATGCTATCATTGGGTTTGTGGCAGATCTCCGACATTGATGCGGACAGGTCTAGACAGAGCATATGGTCACAAATCTCGGTCAGCATGCACACTAGCAGTCTGACTTTGTGGGACCTGCCTTGGCGGTTCTTGGACGCCGCAAACCACTGTTGACCCACAACCCTGGCGCCGCCAGCCAGGGCACTTGGAGCGCAAAGCAGCTGCGGAGTGAGTGAAATGTTGCTTCACTGCCCCTATCCAACTCGAGTCGCTTCAGAACCGTGTTCCACACCGAATCCACTCAAAGGTGTGGCATGCGACAGTCCGAGCGTGTGAGAGAGAGAGAGGGAGGATGGTGATTCTGCAGGTGATGAAGCTGCTAGTGCTGGTGCTGCTGGTGACGGCAGTGTGGATCAAGAAGGATGATGGAGAGTGGATGAGGATGGTGATAATAATGGATAATATATGACGTATGGTCAGACACTGTGTTCCAAAAAATGGACGATTAACGACAATGATCCATTTGAGGCAGTACTCAAGCTACAACTGCCAGGGCTACGCAGGGCTACGCTGCTTCTCAGTGTGTCAAGACGGTCAAAGGTACTGAACAAGAGTCTTGCAGAGTGCGGATGCTCCATATGCCAAACTCTCTCTCTCTCTCTCTCTCTCTCCGGTGTTTCTTTGATCTGGTCCTCCGCTGCTTTGGCATTGTCAGTTCTTGCCTCAGCTTGATGGGAATCAAGACAACTGCACTGCAACATCCGCAACTTCTAATGTTATCTGACTCTCGTGGAGTCTGTGATGTTGCAGGTAGTTTTTCAGCCAACTCACCGCCCCTATACCACCAGTTCATGACTATACTATACTTGGCATTGGATTTCGAACACATTTCAACGAAAGACATACCACCCAAAGAAACACAAAGAAGCAGTGTCAAACCCTTTCAGCTTACTAACCTTCCAATAAAAGGCATGTGCACAACAAGACCATGCGCCGGAGGTCGTCTCAAAACCACCATCCTCTGTCGTTCGACACGTTCGACGCGTGCGAAACGGGCACAATCGATGGGGCGAGGCCGCTGCAACTTTTGGGCTCCCATGAGACCTCGCAGCTCCTCCGCCTGCAGCTGTTCTGCTAGGTCGAGGAGAGAGGCTGCAAGCACCTCCTAACGAGGCCGAACACCGCGTCGCGTCTCCGCGCGTTTCTTCGGGACGAGGTCACCGGACCGGTCCCCATGAGTGACGACTGGTCGGATGGAGAAGGGAATCAAAAGTTGTGGTGCTTGGGGGCTATGATTGTGAGAGATTCTATTCGGAGATCCCCAAAAAGAAAGACCCTCCTCACAGCGAAGGGGATGGTTCGTTCGGGGCCAAACCCTTGTGGAGATGGAACTATTCTAAATAATTACACAGCTTAGGCTTAGCTTGATATAGCTTGATAGTATTTTGTACCGAATAAATAATTGAATTGACCACCCAAGTTCCCAAGTGTGGACGTGGGGGATCTTACATTCCCGTCGCCGGTACAGCCTGGATGGCATGACTCATCCGTCCACGTCCACCGGGCCACTCCTCCGTCAGCAACGGATCCTGCAGCATCGGCAACAGCTCCACGGCGACCGGGAAGGGCTGCAGGCTGCGATCGAAGTCGAGCCTGAAAACTCCAAGCTCGAGCTTTACGAGAACATACGACAGACGCGGCGAAGAACAGAAAAAGGGAGAGAGGCGTCCATCTGTTTGCCTCATAATCCTTGTTTGCTCGGTAGACGGGCGATGGACGTTGGAATTGATTGGGACCCCAAATGGGGAACAACATGAAGTGCTACTGTCTTGGAAGGCTGGGGCAAGGCCTACCAAAGTGTCTCAACAACACTCAATCAGCTTTCCACCATGAAGCGGACCTCATGAGGCATGCGAGGGCAAGGGGCGTCTCTCATTCCGCAAGTATTCAAAGGTGGCAAACTGCTGCCAACGGCCGTATACTTGGGCAAAAGCATTAGGCCAGCATAGGCAAATTGTTCCCGCCTTTGAAGAAGAAAAAGGCTTCTCCAAAGCAGTGCAGCCACTCGTCTCACTGTCACGACGCCCTTGCCGTCCTCTCAACACGACTCCAGCCGGTGCCGGAAGCAGCCAAGTGGCCCCAAGGCTTTGCGCAGTGAGATCAGAACCTGCCGTGGTCGACTGGACACCCGGTGACTGCCTTTTTGGGAGGCCGTTCACCGGTCAGTGAGGTTCTGTCCCTCACAGCCAAAAAAGAATCACCACTGACTGACTGGCGTGGATCCTTCAGAGTAAGCTCTCAGAAAAGCAACGAGGAACCCAAGAAACCCAACAACTGTATGTTCCATCTCTTTGTCTTTGGAGCCAAAGTGGCTGAAGAATAGCAGCTGTGGTTTTCCTCCATCGGCCTGTTCATCGTCGTTGAGTGCCTGATATAGAATTGTAAGTGGCGTAATTGAGTCAAAGGTATTGCTATATACATTAGTTATTCAACATGTTGTATTTTATTAATTAAGTAATATTTATTAATTAATATGTCAACAACTGAGAGGAGTTCTCAAAAGGGCATTGAGTCAACAAGCACCCTCCCGCCACAGCACCCGCCTCCGCCAGGGTGCTCATGACCTCGGTGTCTTTGGCCACCGGCTGCGCCAATAACCGCTGGAAGGCGAGGCATATCTTTGGCAACGTCTGCTCCAAGAGCCGCCTGGCCGGGTTTCACCGGTGGGTGAAACCCACTGGTGGAGCACGAAACTGGAGGGTTGAAAGCTGGAACTGAGAGACCAGGTGGTGGGAACTTTGTTTGGTGCAAACAAGAATAGACAGGACTTCGGTATAATACACTGCCAGTGTGTTTTGCTGGATCGATGACAAAACGCTTCTCATCTTCTCAGCAATGACTCCTTCAGAGTGTCAAGATCCCCAAATAGACAGAAGCATATCCCAAAACTTTGTGAGGGGTTTCTGATTCATTGAAATTCATTGATTTCCTGGTATCCTACCGTTCGAACTGCGTCGCTTGGTGGTCGGGTTGGGTCCGGTCTGAGACCGCCTGACGCTTTGCTGCGTCTCCTCCTTTGGAAGCCACAGAGGCAAGCGGCCAATGAAGAGCAAGGCCTGAGTTTCGAGTTGTTCTGCGAAAAAATCGGAAGACCCATGGAAGACCCAATGTGATTCATTCACAGCGGATGATCAACTCTTGTAGCAATCCCTGAAAATGGACTGAGCAAGGCTGAGCATGTCTCATCTTCATTCTCCTCCGCACCTCTTCTTTTCATTGGTTGCTTCCTCGATCCTAGTCCTGATGGTGAACTGAACATGTGAAAAGTGAAAACTCCCAGGTCATGGTCGATTTCACAAGACCTTTGAGGCCCATGATCACCTAAAATAGGTCAATGAACTTCACTCGCAAACATCCCTTTTGTCAGCTTCACCATGCAAGTCCCATCACCGATCACGAATTTCCCCATCCCCATCCGGCCCAAGACACCCAGCAGCTGAGCTTCGGATTCACCGCCTCCTCCAACAGCTGCGCCGCCTGCTCCAGCGCCGCCTGCGTCACCGCCGCGCCCAGCAGCGCCGGCGCCAGGCGCACCGCGCGCGGCGCCAGCGAGACGACGAAGAGCTCCAAGAGGGCGGCAAAGAGATCGGGGGGCAAATCCTAGCTGGTTACAAGGCTTGGAGCCTTCGCGGCGCCAGACGCCCTCTTGAAGTTGTTTTGTTGAGTGAGGAAAAGATGTCAATGGCGCCTATATATATATATATACGGGGCATCTTTTTGTCGTAGAATGACTTGATTGCTCTTGGGTGGGAAGTATATTTATTCAAAGTTTCCATTTCTGGTCGAATAGTACAACACCACATGGGTTGGAGGTGATCTGGATAGCAAGTGAAGCATGAATTTAAACGGAACTCCTCCATATATCAAACACCGCGTTGCAACTAAAAACACAACTGGCTCCAGGTCATTAAAACACTCACAAGCACAACTGGCTCCTGTGTCTTGCTGAGCTTTCCCAGGAGCTGCTCTGCGATCTGCAGGACATGCAGCGCCAACATGGGCGCTGTGTGCTCGTCGCCGCCTCAGTTCTGTAGAACCAACTTCGGTTCCCTGGAACCCACTGCTTTCCAAAAGGTCACATAGCTGGAGCCTCATTGCTCAAATGTCTGCCTGTTCAAGAAAATCCGCCTGAACCAGGGTTTGTCCTTAAGAATCTATAAGAAGAGCCTGCGGGCAGACATCGTTATTTGGGCAGATGCTGTAAATTACTTTCAAAGCACCTAAGTTGCAAATCTGCAGTTTTGAAAACAATGTTCGACATTTCAATTCGGGCGAGAATCGGCGTGATCCAGGCGTGAATTTTTGTGATCGGGCGAGAACTTGTGTGATCGGGTGGATTTCGTAGACTCAAGTTGCATTGCATGTATTCATCACTCGCAGAATATATATATATATAATGAACAAAAACACATTTGGGCGAGAATTGCAGGGTCGGGCGTGAAAACCATGTTCGGGCAGAAATACTGCCTGAATGGATTCGGGCTGGAATTCTAGCCTGGACGAGTTCCTAGGTATACAGGCTATACAGGCTCCGGTGTCGGACTGTTGAGCGGCCAGCAGCCAGCTAACAGCAGTCGAGTCCTTTGAAACTGGACTGGTGAGGACTCCAGTTTGAGAGAACAAGCATTGACCCGCAAGTTAGCCCGTACTTGGTAGGCTGTTCGGTAGGCGACCATGTCATCTCCTGTCCATCAGTATATTTAGATCGAGGATAGTAGAAGTTGGTAAATTGGTAAACAGTGTTTCCTCCACGGCCCGTTCATGAATAGCCAGCAACGCGCGGAATCGTTCTTTGAAGGGAAAAATGCTCACCCAACAGAAGAGAGGGACCAGCTTCCTCGATCTTAGTAGTCATTTGCGTCAGTTGCACCTGACCCTCCCATTTGCCTTTGAAGATCCGCGCCAGCTGCGCCACCGCTTGCAGCGCGGGCGACGAGCCTTTCAGGATAGCGGCGTTCGCCAGCGCCGGCAGTGCACGCGAGAGCAAGGCGCTGGCACAGGCAGGCATTCCACGGGTGCGAGTGAGGGCCTCGACCCGGAGAAGGTGAGGAAGGAGGTCAGTTTTGCTGATCAGGTACGTACCACCTTCCAACAGGTCTCCGAAATGGAGGGTTGGGCAGGGCCCTAACAGGTTTCAATTGGTGACCTGGCAGTGAGGTGCTGGTAGAGGTTCAACAGATCCAACGTCTGCCAAATTAGTTGTTTGCAAACTTCACCATAGAGCCACCTTCCACCAATCCTGGTGTTTCCAAATTGACCTGCGCTTGTCTCCTTCTTCAGCACCATAAGCTTTTCTCCAACACATGCAAGTAAAACATAGTAGAACACCTATCAACTCCCCAAACGCGAGGACTCGCCCACAAATCCTAAAGGACCATAAGCAGAAACACATTCAGAATTGGAGCGGTGATGGACACCTACAGTGGACACCTCTCCTCTGATCTCTTTGAAGCGCCTGCAAGGATTCGGAACCTCACCGGGCGCCCGCGCCGTCTCCAGGAAGGTGGTGGCTGCCTCGCAGGCCGAGTCGCCGGTCATCAGGGAGACTTCGAACCTGGGAGGCGCCAGGTCAACTCGCAGGGAGGCGGGGACATCGAAGAGCCTCCAACCCCAGTAGCGATGTTGGATTGGACTCTAACATGCCGACATGTGGTTCCTGGGAGGTGGGGTTTGATGTGTTTTGTTTGGAGTCTGGAAGTAATGTATACTCCATGTATACAGGAATATATGATAATTCAAATTCATATGTGGTTTGCTTTTTGGGGGGAGGTCTCAATCCCTCTCTGCCCACCAACCACCCATCTGACCCCCCAAGACTTCCGATGACCGCCGACCTCACCTCTGACTCTGCCTCTCGTTCGTTGCAGCCACGCTGCCAGGCCCAGTGCTCCGAAAGCCATTCCAGCGAGGCCTCCGGGCGCTCTGGCGTCGGAGCTGCCAGGATGGCGAACAAGAGCCGCCAGCAACTGATGCGCTGAGGCCTTAAAGGCAGAACACGTCAGCCGACGGGACGGGTCGCGTAGGCTCAGCCGGAGAGGATGGGCCCTCTTAGGGTCGAACTGGGCAGGGTCTTGCGGGTGCTGAGGTGTTGGGTCGCTAGAGGGAAAACTTTATCATGTTTCACCCTCCAGAGATTTCAAAGACGACATGTTCTGGTACATTGGTGAAAAGCAGGTGTGGGATTCACTGTTTTTGTACTGCTATCCGAAAACACTTGGTATCTCAAGATCCAAAAACAAGGTCTTTGACCTGTGACATCTTGCGAGGTATGGTGCAAGCAGATGTTTGGAGTCGTTCTGCAGCTTATCCACACCCCCATCATACAAATCCATGGTTTGGTTCAGACAAAGCTTTCTAAAAATGGGCTATCTCCCGGGCTTTCTCTCCTGACCATCCCCTGGGTCAGTGTGGCCAGAGATGTTCTCGCCTCAAATCGAATCGAGCCCAGTCTCTTCACCCAAGCGTCGTGGGCTCACAGGGCGGCGCGTGCACGCGGAGTGGCTCCAAGATGGAATGGAGCGCCCGGACCTGCGGGACCGTTTGGATCGAACGAACTTGAGAAGAGAATGAAGAAAGAACGGAAAGCTATGCGGTGCGTTTTTTTTTTGAAAGTGGATGAATGAACATGAGCAGGTGAGAATTCTTCAATAGAAGCAAGAAGGATGAAGGTTCCTACCTCGAACGGTTCGCAAACCACAGTAACTGAGCACATCTTCGCTTATCCAACGGTCAATTCTCAACTGCCCAAGATGTCTATGATACCATCATACATACCACCATATGCCCGATACTCGTTGAATCAACGTCCACATCTTCCCCCAACACAGTTGATTCAACGGATGGTCGCACCTGTACAGTTTCGGACAGCTCCGAAAGCAAGGGCCCCAGAGCGGCTTTGGCCACCTGCTCCCTGGAGGTGCTGCTCAGCTGGTTGTCCCTGAAGTGGCAGAAGCGGGGTTGGCCAACAGGAGTTTTTTTTTGGGGGGGGAGGGCGGCCCTATCAAAGGGTCACCATAACAAGCCAGTCTGTTTATAGAACAAAACACATGTGACGCATGGCGCCTGGAGACCTAAGGATGGGATCTCGAATTGATGTGAAAAATGGTTTCTGCCCAACAAGACTCACTCACTCACTCACTCTCAATCCCTCCCTCACTCCCTCAACTGTCTCGCTGGGTCTCCAGGCCCCAGGATCAGCTCTTTCAGTTTCCCGAAGCATCCTGAGATCTCGTATCCCGGTGTCGCGTTGTTTTTTCGGTGCCGTGCGGTGTGTCTGGTGCCCAAGCCCAGTCAGTGAATGGCGGTAGAAGCATCCCTGATCACATGTGACGCACAGCGAAAGGATGTGTCTTTTCTTTTTCGCCAGTTCTACGGCCGAACAGTGAAGGGCATCGGTGGCATCGGTGGCATTAGAAAGTATAGCTACAATGAGTTGATGCAAGTTGTGAAACATCTCCTATATGGACCACCCAGCACCACACCAGCCACCCCTTACCTCCTCCCACCCAATTTTTGAGGGAGCTAACACCTGTTCCCCACCCCTAGTTCAAAAAAAAAAAGTAATATACTTTACTTCGAGTGATCCCCACCCTGAAAGGCGATTTGTGCGGGTTGAACTGCGGACTGACACTGTTCTGACGCAAATTCTGGCATCAAATCTGGTTTGTGCCCTGACACATCATCTATCAGATATCATAGAGGCTGGGAACCGTTCTGGACTGTGTTCTGACATCTTTGTTGGCGTGTGTTCTGACATGTTCCTGTCTCAGTGCTGTGACATATGGACCAACTTCAGTCCTGCTATGTGTTCTGACATGTATTCCGGCTCCGACTGTCCTGGCACTCTATCTGGCGTAAAAGTCTGGCATATACTCTGAGCGCTGTCTGGCATCATTGCTGGCACTCTATCTGGCATATAGTCTGGCATTCTCCTTTGGCAAGTACTCTGGCACTCTATCTGGCGTACACTCTGACATTCTATTCTATCTGGCATACATTCTGACCTTACATATTGGCTTATTATATTCTGACATTCTATTTGGGAGGTCCGGCGGTGCCCACTGCGATCAGGAGCTGGCTGTTGAGGTCTGGCAGTGCCCACTGCAATCTGGCACTTGCGGGGGACACTTGCCAGCCGAAGCTCGCGATTGAGGTCCGGCGGGGAACGCTGCCAAGCATCGCTCGGGGTTGAGGTCCGGCGGGGAACACTGCCATCCTGCACTTGAGGTTGAGGTCCGACATAGAATCTAGCAACCCTCAGCTGACAGGTGGGGAACAACAATACTAACACACATATGCCCACCATCCGGCTGGCTCCACCGGACTCCAATTCACCCCCGCCTTCGGCCATGGGCGCCAGGTTCGGCGCCAGGTTTGAGACCACGACGCTCAACGCTTCGGCGGCCGCGGGCGTCGCGTGCGGCGAGCGGCAGAGCTGGAAGACACACGTCACCCTTCGAAACGACGCGGGATGGGTGGCATCGGGGCACACCCTGGTTTTTCCCACCGAACAGGAGCAGGATGGAGCAGGAAGGTGAATCTACCAGGGTGAAAGGGGCTCCAGGTGTTGAATCAATCCGCCACATGTTTTGGTCTGATCTTAAGGCCGCCGCTGAAGGTGAAGGAAAGCATGGGAGGCACAAAGGCGATGGAATGAATGAAGAAATGATGAGATGCTCATGTTGACCACGCTCTTGGGGCACAAAGGTGGCGGCGATGATGGAGATTAGCAGGAAGGAGGACAGCATTGCAGTGTCCCTTGGAGGTCCTTATTGCTAATGTTTTGGAGGCTAGAACCTGCTAGAACCTGCTTGACCCTTGCTTCACATGTACCGGCATCTCTCTCAAAAAAAACACCTGTCGACCCACAAGACCCTCTATAATGATTATACCCCTCTATACCCTCTCCATATCCTCTTCATGTTTATAAGGCACTCGTTTTTATATAATGTAAGTAGTAAGGCCTTCGTACTACTATAGCTTCTTGCCACTAGTAGCTTCTGGCCTCCAACCTACTTGCGATGGCCTCCAGATCCAAGCGGCAACATTTCGAAGCTGTTGGACTCGGGACGATAGCGTTGCACGTCGATCCTGTCGACGGATCCCCGCGATCGAAGGGGAATCGGAAGAAGCTGTGGTGGTTCGAGGTGTCGGAAGAGGACCGGGAAGGCATGGAATCGAAGAGGAGAGTTGGGAGAACCACGTGAAACATCATGAAACCCATATGATTTGTGTACAGTAAAGCTGGGGATGTGTGCGATTCATGACTCTAGTGGGTATTTGGATGTATTTGGGATCCCCTTTGGACCACATTGACATGGAAGTGGGAACATCGAATGAGCGTGTTCTCTACTCCTTCGACTCCTTTGACCGAGGGTTATACATAAGGCCTGCATGAACATACGATGTGACGGGTTAGTTGCGCACCTACTTTGGTCGAGCTAAAGGCTACAGGTGGCCAGTGGTGCTTTCCATGTGACTGATGTGCTATTGGAGGCTTGAAGATCAACTAGAAATAGGAGTTCAGGTGGCCTTGAACATGCATTGGCAGGCCTACCTACCTAGCCATCACACATGTTGGCTTCATACTTGGCAGTGCACGAGCAGCCTATTGACCGGTGGGAAGTTCCGTCGATCGTTTCACAGAACTCCTCCTGATCGAACAAATGAAAACGAAGGTCCAATTACCATACGTCTTGCTTCACATGTCCTTCACCACAAGAAGTCACGTCAGAAATTCCTTTCCAAATATCCTCAAGCATCTTGTTTCAAAGCTCTTGTTCCAAATGATGTGCCAACATCCCAACATCTTCCCAAGACCCCGACAGCACTTCCGATGCCCGTTCGATGCCCAGTGTCCACGGATCCATAGACACAATGAGCTCCGCCACGGCTGCCTCCAACGGCTGCAGCAGCGCCGAGCTCGCAGTGGCATCTGGCGGGTCCCGTGGCGGGTCCCGAAGGGTCGCGGTTCGCGAAACGTGGAGCCAGGGGTCCCTTCAAGGGAGGTTGGTGAGATGGAGGATGGAGAGACCTGGAGCCAGGTCATGCCGTTTTGAACCGCATGATGGGAAACCATAAGCGGCGGAAAAGCAGAAGGAGCCTCCGTTTCGGGTGCGCCAAAAGAATGGACCAGTGTCCGTTGGATTCTCCTGATGTAGGTTGGTTGGTTGATGTTGGTTGGTTGGTTGAGATGGCGGGCAGGTGAGGTCAGGTGGGAGTATTTCTCTAGGTGGGGTCAAACTAAATGTTGAGCTGGAGGACATCTTTAGTCCACAGCATCCATGAGAGGAAAACACATATATTTGGGTATACTGTATCAATCCTATTCCCTGTAACAGTGGATACGATGGTTAGCAAAGCGCCCTTTCTCCAATGGATATTCGGTCGGACGACCCGAAATCGGAATACCTTCGAAGTAGGGAACCAAAATCATCCCATGAGCGTATGCCGCCTTCTGCAAGTGACTGTTCGAAGGCGGAGGGAGCTTCGATTGACCACAACGGGCGGACCGGACCATGCGAAGTCAAGACGAAGTCTGGTCCAACCGTCTTGTGGTTCCTCGACCAAACATCCGTTACCGTGCTGGGAAGAGGTGTCTTATATATGTCTGAGACAAAAGCTTGCATCATTAACATTCATTAACCCACTGTTTGAGGTTCTGGTGTTCACATACCAAACAGATCTAAACAGATTAAGACTTTAAGAAATGATTTATAGATTGTTTTGCTGCAGATGTGTTGGAGCCCACCTCCCCCGAAGAAACAAAGCAACGTCAAAAGGTGCATGCACGCCGCATCTATCTTGGACAATTCACACACCTCCCAATAACCGCACCCTTCCTCGCGCTCCCTTCGCCCGTCGAACGCGTTGGCCGTTGTTCTCGGCGCTGGGGCCTTGCATCTGGGGCAGTTCCCAAAAGCTGGCGACCTTGTAACCCACCTCCAGCGCCTCCATCAAGGATGCAGGTGTAAAAGCGATCCTTCGAGGGCTGGAGGACCGGAGGCAGGGCGGTGGGGCGGTCGGTCGCCGGCGAGCACGCGCGGTTTCCGCACCGGTGTTGGTGACCCTTTTTGGCCCGCGCGGTTTCGCGCTGCATTGGTCATGGAGGACAGGATGACCATGGAGGCAAAGGCAGAGAGTGATCTCCAGTCTTTTTGCGTCAAACAAATCAAGCTAGTGCAACATCTTGGGTTTTTTCTGGGTTTCTTCAGGTTTCTGGGTTGCTTTTTCTGAGGTGCAGGATGAGATGCAGCACACTGAGGGGATGGGAATGTGTCGAAATATGCTTTAAGGGGCGATTGCATGAACGCCCACGATTTGCCCAACACCGCACAAATCTGAATCCCATACCTGTCTCTGACATGATTAAAGGAAGAGTCGACTCTGAGACCTTCAGATGACTCGGATCACTGGGATGACTCGGATGACTCGGATTGCTTCAGAGATGTTATGTTCTATAAAAGAAATACTGTATTGTATAGAGTAAGAGTAATATATAAGTAACCACAAAATAGAACAACCATAATTACACAATCATACACATAAGTCATATATACACATCACATTCCCAGAATCACCTCCAACTTCACCGGTCTCTTCGGTCCCCTTCCGTATAGTCGACCTCCGTGGCGGACCCGGTGGGTTGCGCCACACCCGGCCGAGGTGCCGTTCGTGGTTGGCCGCGAGCCCGACGCCGTCCATCGAGGCGGCCAAGGCTTCAGCCACCGCAGCGGCGAAGGAGAGAGCGAACTCCAAGGAGACGAAGGTCGTTCTCTTTTTGAGGAGTTCTCCGAGGCATTGCTCCTTAGCGAAGTAAGGAACCACGTTTTCCTGAGCGGTTGGCAGCTGTTTTGTGGTTTCGGGCTTTCTGGATGGATTGGATGCGTTTGGCTGCTTTCCCTGCGGAATGGGCCACCTGCACGGCGGCTCTAAAACATATCCTCTGCTTTCTAACATATGGTACCTAAATCATCCAATGGGTCACCCACTGACTGCCGTCCACCAGGACCTATATATGGACCTCCATGTTCGCCCCACTCTTAACATCGGTCTCATTCCCACGTACAGCCTGGAAGCTTCACTAAAAAGAGGAAACGAGCCTCTTCTATAAACCAAACCATCCGGTTCTTGCGGAGGTCCTTCCATGTCCTTCCCTCCTTCCGTCCCTCCTAGGTCCAAGGCGCCGCCTGGCCGGGCCGAGACCAGGCCTCCGGCACGGCGCACCACACCGTGAGCAGCTGCGCGGTGCGCGGCCGCAGCTGGGCGTTCCACGTGCCGCGGCCGCGGCCATCGTGCTCGGGCAGTTGGAGCGCCTGGATGGAAGGGATCCGGTTTGGGTATATAGGCTTTTGGAGAAGGTCAGGTGGTTTTTTTGAGAGTAGTATGCTGCATGTCTGTCTCCTTTCACTGGTTTGTTGGTGGTCTTGGCGTGAATTATGGAATCCTGTAGAATTCGAAGGTCACTTGACTCAAAGGCTGGTGGGAGCTGGAGTGAAGTCTGCTTGCAGTTCCACGTGCAAGGGAGCAACTGGAGCTCAGGTATCGTCCAGGTATCATTTGGTAGTACTTTGGGTCTCGCAGCTTTCATCCCAAACATTGCACCAAACTATCATTGGGAATTGGAATTTGCAGAGTCCTGGAACAGATGGGGACACGCTGCTCTCTTTCTAATCTTACTAGCCATTCTGCTCCTAAGATCCCTGAACAGCGCCAAAACAGGCTGACCACCTGATACGAGTATCTTGGAAACTCTTTGGAAGACATGTCCGACGTATCATCTATCATCTCTTCAGGGTTCCCTGGGGCGCTACACATAGGTTTTTGTTAAAGTGGCGCTTGACCTCTAAAACTCTTAGGATCTTTTGGCCCTTGCATCTTATACGTCCTCCTTCATAGCTCCCATCCGAATATATACCCTTCACCAATATACCCTTCACTTCTCTTCGCTCGTTGCCACTCCCGGCACCTGAGGCATTCCCTGCAAGAGCTTCTCGAAGGCCTGAAAGCCACAGCAGTTGCGATCCGTCTTGACGTCCACCCAGCTGGCCAAGCTCTCCCAGGCATCGAAGCAGCGGCCCAATAAGCCACCCTCCACGTCCACCTCCGCACACCGTGTGCGGGGCGGGTGTTCGTGTCACCATGGACGCCCCACGCACACCACGCACGGAGTCCTGGAACAAATTATGGCAGTGGGTCATGAAACCTGGAAGCCCCAAATCCTGGTGGGTTGACATCCAACAAACGAGGATATACTGAACACGTCTTCCATCCTTAGGGCTGTATAACTATAGACTATATAAGTATACCTCCTGAGAAGATGGTTGGATTTAGGGGGTCTAACTACCCTCTGAGGATGCGGCTTGGAACCCCAAAGTTAAGTTCATACTGGCATCAGTTCTATCATGTTCTATCAACTCCAGAATGATTGTATGTGCTTAGTAAACTCTTGTTGGAGATCAAGTGTATAGATCTGAAGATGGTGGAAGGCTTCGTCCAGGAAACTGCCCTTTTTGATGTTCCGGCGGTGCGAACATCTTGCAAGACGACGCTATTTTAAGAAGTGGTTTGGGACAACTGGTCAACCTGACAACAGTCCACATTTCACCAGAACCCGATAGAAAGAGGAACCCATCGTGCTCCATGTAGTTTCTTTATGTTTCTTTAAGTCTGCAACAATCATTACTGCAACAGTCCTACAATGCCCATGCCTTTCGGTCCCGATCTGATTTCACACCCCACCTGGACCTCACCCGACCTATCGAAGTGCTGCGCGCTTCGCCGTCCGCCTCGAAGCTGCTTTGGGGTCCAGTGGCCATCATCAGGCGCATGCCAAGATCCAGCCTCGGCCATCAAGCGCAGCAAAACAAGCAAGTCGATGGACGTGACATGTCGACATTGAGTCTATTTGGATGTTGATTTTAAACCATCATTCATGTGTCAGTTTCTCCTCTGTAGAGACACTACAAGTGTTCAATCAGATGTGAAAAATCCGTCGATTGAGCCCCTTCCCCCTCTTCTTCCGCCTCTTCGACCACTCCCAGTCGACTTGGGCGCCCCAGTCGCGTGGCCGCGCGCAGCGGCGGCTCCAGTGCCACGTTGGGTGTGGCGAAGGCGCCGCCCAGCACGGCCAGCAGGGCGCCTAAGGCCTCCTCGTCACCTGACAGTTTCAGGATGAAGAGCCCCAATGAACATTAAGAACCCGAACGAATCTGTATGAATCTGTATGAGCCCATCCTCTGTTATGAGCGGATGGACCTCGTCTGTCTTTTTTCCCGACCTTTTCGGGGCCCCGTAGGTCCAGCGCGACATTTTATCGTCCCGGCTGGGCGATTGAGACACCGGTGGAGGCGGTCACCCACTGTTTGGTTTGTGCAAAAAAAGGTTTCAAAACATGTGGGGATTGAAAGTCCTGAACTCCGGCTGGCCTGTGATCTGCAGGCTCAGATCGTGCAGAGTCATCAACAAGGGGCCGACAATCCTGGCAGGTGGAGTAATCGACTGCCGCAGGTGGGCAGGGCTTGGATCCTTGTACCCTCAAATGGATCCCACTGCACAGGAGGTGGACCCTGATGGGCGGGTATCGGAAGGGGATTCTGGACTTGGAACATGTTGGACTTTCAAGCGGACCCTTGTGGGTCTGCTCTTGGTCAACACACTCTTTTTGAGGCTTCACGGAAGATAACCTTGGGTGTTTTCATGTTCAGTCTCCTGCCTTTGACCAGGCTGGCCCTAGGTGCTGGAGCTTGAACATGTTTCAGATCTTGCAATGTTGTACACCCAACATTGCCAACAAATATAACTTCTGCCTAAACACATACCAATTGCAGTCCACTCACACTACAGCCACTCGCTTTTCCTCGCCACAATTTGGCCATGGCCCGGAACTGGACATTCATATCCCCAAACTCCCCAAACACACTTTGCCAAAATAACGAAAAACAACAAGTAAAATTAACTATCGTGTTCAACTCCAAGACAACTAACATGGAGTTCAACTATCATGTCAACTCACTTAGCTAACAATAATCAATCATGTCACATGTTTGCGACACATGTGAACTCACATCCGGACTCGCCTCGCAGTGTCTGGATGCGTGGCCAAGGGAAGCGCTGCCTCGAGGAGCAGCGCCACCGGTGACAAGAGCTCAGGACGGTGACTCGCCTGCGGCACCTGAGCACGCCGAAGCCGGCGCTTCGTCAAACGGAGCACCGGCTTCGTACATGCCACGTACAGGGCGTCAAAGGGTGTGGAAGAAGAGTTCGGACAACGCTTAGAGACACCCCAACCAGCCCATTATTCGGGGGGTGGATCCGCATGGGCTGCGGCTGCCGAAACGTCCGCGGCCCTGCCTGCTCCATGAGCACCGGCGCGAGAGCCGCCAGTGCTGGGTGGACACCAGCGATGGACGTCGCGCCACCAATCATTGGCAGCCACTCCTGTGGCCACCCCCCCTGTTCGATTTTTCTGCTCCAAAGTCCTCTCCAAGATATATGCCGATGCTCATGTAGATGCTCATGCTGTATAGTCCGAGTTGACTCTGAGTTGTATCCCAAATAAGACTGCACCCGGTCATGTAGAAACATTGAGACACTGTGCACCTCTCTCACTTCGCCTTGCTTCAACCAATGCAACATGTGCGTTTCTCATCATTTTGCACAGCCACGGTCCGACACACTGCAGTTCACTCCTTGGGAAACAACGATGTCCCAAGTGTTCATCAAACAAAGCCATGTTCCTCCAAGAAACCCTCCATACCAGGGAATTAGTACATGAGCGGCCGGCAAAATCACGTGTCCCAAAACGTATGTAGTAGATCGAGGTATCGTTTTTTGGGATGGTGTATCGTTTTTCCAACCGGTTGGTACGTTTTCATAACCGAGGTATCGTTCTCTATTAGTTTCATCATGCCTCAACAAAGCTGCCACGGCACTTTTCAACTACTGGAAGTGGACTGTTGGCGCTTCCTGCGCTTGCGACGGCAAGCCTTTTCAAGGCGTCGCTCGTCCCGAGCACAGATGCTGGCAAAGTCCAAGTTCGGCAAGGAAACAGAAGTCACCGCAGTGGAATCTGTGCACTGAACAGAGTGCTTCCTTGTAATTTCATTGTCGGAGCCAAGTTCTAAAGGGCCTTTCCGCCAGGAGCAATCGCTCCAAAAGCCTTTGCGCCAATCACCGGCTTCAACAGCCACACGTTGGACTTGATAAGGCACAGCGGTAAATTCCGTGCGTCGGAAAAGAGCCAGTTGGCCCTACCAGGTCGAGCTTCCCGAGCTAGTTGTACCAACTCATCTCTTTGCTGCGGGTCATCTAATCTCCGCTGCAGGTCGGAGTAGCTAAGATTGTTCAAACTCATTGCAGAAACTGAAAGACAAAAAGAAAAGTGCATATGGATGCTATCTCAAAATGATCAGATTTGGGCTCCTGCGTTCCCGGGCATGATCATTTAACTTTTTTGGGTATCGTTAGGGTATGGTTTAGGGGTATCGTCGTGGCTCCGATATGTTTCAGACTGCAACCTGCTGTTCTTGGCATTATCTAGAAACGGCTGCGGTGCATTTCGTTGCCAGCAATTTGTCATTGCCTTTGCTAGTCATCTGCATTCTGTGCACCATGGCCTGCATGGCTGCCTCCCGGAACTTGGCAGGCACTTCCTCTAGTTGCGGCCGGTCCGGCCACAACATGAGCCACTTCCATGCCTCCACCTCCTGCTCCACAAAACGTGTCTTCTTCTCTCCATGCTTCGTCTCCAATCTGAACGCTTGGAAACGCAAGCTCCTGTAAGGGGTTGGCATCATGAATGTGAAACAAACAAACTTATGGACTTTCTACTTTCCCCGATCCTTGTATCGAAACGAACTCGCTGCTTCGTGCGTGGAGCCATTGCGAAACACTGCAGGAGACCGTCTTGGTGCACTAAACTGGCTGCGGGAGTGGCTCATAAAGATCAACAAATTTGATTCAAAGCATGTCTAAACTCAGAGATGGGTATCGCTTTTGGGATGGTGTATCGTTTTTCCAACTCAAAATCGCTACTGCAGATTCCATCTAAATATGATGCGCAGCATTCCGCTGGTCACTCACATCTATATAATCAATGCCGTACCACTGCCGTACCAGGGAAAAACAACACCGTGCCAGCACCCCCGCCGCGACCGACTCAGACGTCCGAGCGGATTCAGAGCTCGTCCAGCTCGTCTCGGAGCGGCGGACCACTCCACGGCGTGGACCGGAAGCTCCTCATAGAGCTGCTGCGCTCTCAACCACGCTGCAGCACATTCCAGGCTTGCCGGACCCATGTGCTGCTGGAGGGCCTTGGGAGGTTACCCGTTCACGGTGGAGTCGGTGGAGCGTGAACAGGCGCCTGGAGTGCCTATAGAGCACGGCCAGCACGGCCTTAAAGAAAAACGGCAAGTAAACACCTGGACCTTCGTGTGTTGGTTCGAGAAAATGATGGTGAGCATGGGATGACATGGGCACCGCAAGAACCCACCAATCCAAATGAATCCCATCAATATCTATACTGAACAAACATTACTATGGGAGCAAACCCTCCTACAGAAACATTACTATGTGTGTCTTAACAAATGAAGCAACTTGTACATGACCTACTTGCCACCGAAAGAGCAAACTAACAGCCAATATTCTAACATATAAAGTGATTCTTGGAATGTGTACAGGCGTTGCCTGATGAGAGCCCCGCAAAACCCCGCAAACCCCGCCGGTTGGCTTCACCGCCTGGTTGAGAGCCTCAAAGATCTCCGGCTCCCGCTGCTTCAGCGCCAGCAAGAAACGGCTCCTTTAGAGGTGGGTGAAGGAGGCCAGGATGCCAAAGGAGAGGTACCAGCCGCCCCCAAACAATGAGGTGTGTCTTTTTTCATAGCCCCGAAAAGAGCTGTGTTTCGGGGCGTGTCCATCAATCACACCTGAGAAAAAGGGGCTCTGATGGGCTCTAGTATATGTTACAGTACGCAATGAGATCTGCTTGGGACTAAGCAGCAAACAAGGCAAATGTGCTGCAGAATGCCTCCCATGTCGCGGTGGAGCGAGGTGGGCTTGCCCAGTCGACCCCAACGGCCCAACCTCTCCTATATAAGCAACCTCTCCAAAACAGATTATAGCCGGCCTTGGTTGGGAGGTCTGTCTATTCATTGCACAACCATTTATATTTTCGAAATACGTTATATATAATATATTATAATATATATATATATATGAACAATAGAATAACACACAATGGTAATGTCTCTGTCCCATGCGGAACACCCCGGGTCGACCCCGCCGCCGCCTTACCGAGCCATCCACCAGCAGGCGACCACTGAAGGGCTCCTCTGCTAAGGCCTGGAGCACGAGAGCGTTAGGAAGTTAGGACTGCCGCAGGCTTCCTGGACCAGCCTTGGATTTAATATGCTTTTCTAGGCTTTACCGAACAGCATTGAGTTTTTCTTCGGAATAGTACTGTATACTGGAACCAGGTCAACCTTTCTCTTGGTCTTGGAAGGCTAGGGTGTTTGTTTGTTCTTTTTTGTGAGGGCTTTTTCAGAAGGCAACAAAAACACATGGGCGATCGGTTCGACTTTGAGCAAAAAAAAACAGTCCTCTTCGTCGGAGTGCATTCAACTCTATTGGTACCACGATGGTTATAGTTATATATGGTGCTTGCTGTTTGCCCGAACTGGTTGTGAGAGGGTGGACAAAGCACTGAACACCAGCTTTTGCATCACACCTAGCGCACCTAGCCTAGCTATGCCTGGCTAGCTCACATAGGCAAACTCAATCCCCATATGCAAATCCAGGAAATGCATGGAAATGCATGGAAATGTGGAATACATTCTCACACGTTCTAGGTCGTCCTACTCTTCAAGCCTCACCAACCAACCAGTTTCCAACGACGCGACCTCGTGACCTCGAATGACATCGTGTCGTGGGAGGTTTCATGACGCGGTCTGCTCAGTCGTGCGGTCTGCTCAGTCGCGTTGACAGGCTCAGTCTGTCTTCAGGTCCCGGCCTGCAAGAATTCTAAGGTTGTGGTGACCTGGTCGCTGGAAGAGGTACACGAACCCTGGAACGACCACATGGTTACGTGGATGCCAATGGCCCCGAGTTCGGAAGACCATTGTCCACAAACAGGTGGTTCCACTTCCATGTTAGTTCCAGGGAGAGTCAATTTCTCAACGTATCCTGGGTATGGAAAAGTACGGCATGGGTGCGGATCGTGAAAAGACCCAAAAGATTCCAAAAGTACAATCAACCAAATGAAATTACAAGGGAGGTCTAAAGCTGAATATGCAGTATCTTCAAAGGCACATGCCTGATGACGCTGTTGGAGTAAAGGATGGACAAGAACCAAGTGGTCGAAATAGCAAATGTGTCAAGAGCCCAACAACAAACAACCAAGAACTTCAAAGACTCTCATAAGACCAGTCACAAACCAACTCCACAAACAAACACATTTGCAAAATCGTGCAACTACTCCGAAGAACATTCAAACCTTGCAAACCAACCTCCCAAAGCCACAAAACCCTTCCCGTACAGACTCAGAAAGAACACATCAAGGACAGCTAACTGCTGACTGCAAGTAACCCTTCCTCTGCTGCAGGTGTTTGTCCCTGCCTATCCCTTCCTCTTCCGCAATGCTTTTGTGCTTTTTGGTTTCCTCCTTCTGCCTTCTATCTCAGCCACCTGTGAGCTCGCCAGGCGCCCCAGCACTTCCTGCAGCGCGGATGGCCAGGCATCACCTGGGGCCAGGCAGAGATGAGACATGGCGATATTTTGCGGAAGATCCTCTGTTGGCCCAACCTCGGCAGGTGTCGGAAGTCCTTTTTGCGGGCCCCTTGATGGCCATATGATGATCAGTGTAATTTGCTTTGTACCCGCTGGGGACTCGTTGAGACTGTCGTTGGGCTTGCTGCGCAAACTCCAGGATACTCCAAGCATCTCCAAGTTATTTAGAAAAAGGCAAGGTGTGAAATCCCAAAGTGCAAAGAACTTCTATTCTCAACAGAATCTGGTACAGATTTTGTACAGTATCCCAGGCCTTGATGCTTGAGCCACACTCGGAATGACTGCCCCCCCCTTCAATTCACGCCCGGACCCCCGCCCACCGGTCTCGGCCGCGCGGCACAACGAGACCACGCAGCGCGCCAGGGCGGCGCCCAGTTGGCGACGTGCGGCGGGTGGCAAATGCGGGCTCTGCAAATGCTGGAGGAGCTCTGGTGCCACCTGACCCGGAGTCGAGCATGAAGCTATGAAGGCCCAAAAATGCGACAAGGTAGTGGTTTTAACCAATATGTAAACCTCCAAGGTCATCCAAAGACTATGAGGTTGAGTATCGTTCAAATCCACCCTTCTCCACCCATCACACCATATACACGATTCTACACGCCAGTCAGTTCATGTTACTAACAAAGAAAAGCAACCTCCTTTTCCGGTGAAACATGAAACCTCCCCTCGCATGCCAGTCAGTTCATTCTCCCTTCACCTCCCCTCCCGGTGCCTCCGGCCAATCGGCCAAATCCTCCGGCGCCGCGTAGCGCGCCCGCTGCGCCAGCGCCGATGCGCCGAAGATGGCGGCGAAGCCGCCGAGGCGCAGCAGCGGCAGCGCCAGGCGCAAGGCGTCGCCTGAAGCAGAGCACCGGGAAGAGGTTTTTGGATGGCTTTGGGGTGTCGTTTTTGGGGTCGTTAGTAATACCAATGGTCTTTGGTGCTGTCTTTGGTTTCTATGAGCCTTGATGTTAAGAATGCTTTGGACACCGGTGTTTCTTGACCAGTTGACAGGAAACTGGGCTCCTTGTGTTGAAGCTCCTCCTTCCGACTACCTCCGAATCCGGTCTCCCGGTCGACCAAACGGGCAGAGGGACGGCTGCGCTGAAACTGCGCAAGTGCATGGCTGGCAGCTTTGACCTGCTCTGGGGACCCATTCTGCAGGAGTTCCACCTGCGTGCATTCAAGCTCGCGTTCGAGCGCGCAGAACAAAAAAGACACCAGGTTGCGCTTTCGTACTATGTGCAGGGCGTACCAAGTGCTCATAAATCTATACAGCAATAGGTCATTAAATGTAATTGATTTTGTTAACAGCTTGCCTGCTTCTTGTTTGTTGAACCATATATAGGGATATATAGCTGAGCGAGACTGAATGGCATCCAAATTTCCGGCCTGCCGGGCAAGCTCTTGCAATGGCTCCATACCATTGGGAGATCGAACCGAACTGCTGGGGTAAGGAGCTTCTTGTTTTGCGGGCAGGAAAGGATATATAAAGGACATGTGGAATGTTCCACATGTCAAAAATAGGGCATGGCAGAATATGCGAACATATTTGTCGAGATAGAAAAGTTCAGGTCCTGGATCCTTCTTGAATCATCCATCAGTACACTTCATGGATCTGCCAATTTCTTACGAATTCCATCCAAAAGCAACAACATGAACACCTGTTAAACAAGAATCGAACCTTGAGTTGGAAGTCACAAGGAGTCTTCCTCCAGAAACCCGGCTCTTGTGGATCTCAGTTCTGAAATCGCAATAAATCGCAGGTCTCTCAGTCGTGATTTCAGGTCGGTCTCAGATTTTCAGGTCGGTCTTCAAATATGCTCCACTCGATCTGCTTCGGCTTCCGCATCACCAGCTTCGGTGGATGGATTCGGCTCAAGAAAACGGCTGCAGATCGATTGTGGGCTTCGGTGGATGTTAGATGTGCACCGTGGAAGCTGCCTCGAAACATCTCGATACAAACACCAACACAGCCTGTCTGTGGGTTATGCACTAGGATACCGACTGGTTGACCTACCTGGGAGGTCGTTCGCATGCCTACATATTGGGTCTATCCTAATACCTGTAACAGTGGATGATGATGATTTGTAAAGGCCTTGTTGAAAACAAGTAACACAATTGTTTACTGACGGTTACAGATAATAGGACAGACCCAACCTACATTGATGCCCCAGACCACCCCAATGAAGGCATATATAATGGAGTGTGACTGGGAAACAATGTTACCAGTCATGTGTCTTTGCACAATCCATGAGCCTTGCAAGCCTTGCTTTCAGGCAAATGTCACAGGCACCGTGGTGAGATGTTCAGGCTGTGGACTTGAGTCTTCTCAGTCCGAGCCTTGAGGGGCCAAAACTGCGACGGAAGTGCTCCGGTCTTTTGCAGCACCTCCGATCTCGTACCATGTCCTGTCTCACGTCTTGTTGCATGGCATTGTATGGTCAAAGGTTTTAATAGATCAGCCCCCCCAGACTGCCGTTGGGGCCACGGCTGACATCCCAACCCACCAAGGTCTGGTGCACAAAGGTCTGACGGCACGGTGGCATGGAACCCGCGCGGAACCCGAAGGGGGGGGACCAAGGACGCTTCTCAGAGGCGAGGACTGTGCACAGTAATTGGTCCCAAAGTGTGGCATGCTTGCAGTCTGAACTCAGTTCTCAGTCTGGTGGCGGCTGTTTCTTGAAGATTAAAGCAATACTCATATCATTCCATATCGAGGTATCTCCAGGTTCCCTCAAGAATGGCCATCTTGTATGGATCTTGGGAAGCAAATCCGGAGATTCGATGGGAAGACGAGGATCGGATGGACCTACAGCCTGCCGGGAATGGACATGAACAAATGGAAAAAGGCATAAAAAGGCTGTTGCCAGTAGTTTCTTTGGGAGTTCATGTTGTGCAACTTTGCAAGTCATGCTGTTGATTCCTTTCTGCATCCAAAATGATGCCAAATGCCAAAGTCGCCTCCCAACACAGCATGAGGAAATCGTTTGGAATGCACAAAGACTATAGTATATTTACCTCCTTCAAACGACGTGGCCCAGCTGGTTTCTATAGCAGCTATTAGCGGTTAAACTTCCAGATCACCGGCTTGAGACCAGAACCTGTGGTTGTGTGTATTGCAATTAATTATCCAGCGCTCCTCAGTCCAATGGGTTATTTACTCCTCAAAACACAAGTCTATTTTCGGGGGATAGCACGGTGATATGACTCAAATATACTCAGCTTATGAGTTTGTTTGTGGCGCCTTGCGCCTCCAAAACCGATACCCGTCGCTCGACCTGCCGTGCCACAGAACCGCTTCAGCGTGAACCCGCTGCTGATTGGTTCGTGTGATATCCTCTTTCGGGGCCAAAAACCCATCGAATTCAGGTCAGGACCGTCCTAGCTTGAACACCGAACGATCATGCGAACGTGGATGCAAACGCGACATGGTATTCTGACCAGCACAACACCGAACGTACACCATGGGGTTGGCGCCAATCAAGAACATCCATCCTCACCGTTGTTCTGAGTCAAAACGACCGACCTCCAGCGACGTCCTTCCATGTCCACGGATAACGGTCACCTTCGGGTGTTCTCACACCGGCGCTGGGAGGAGGACGTCGCCGGGAGGCGGGCCTTGCCGGGTGGCAACGGCCGAGGTGAAGGCCGCGGTGACGGTTGTGTCCCTGAGAAGAGCGGTGAGTGTCGAACGAAAAGCATCGAAATGTGTGCGAAAGCGCATGGAGAAAACTCATCAGAGAAATCGTTTTAAATCCACATTTTCCGGCAAACCTGTGGAATGACGTGAAAATTGGACGTAGAACTTTCTGCTGCACATTCCTTGGCAGTTCATTGCACAAAATCGCAGGGAGAGCTGCCCTTTTCGCGCAAATTCTGCTGACAATCCGTGAGTGATTGGGATGACATTAACTTCAAGACACTGAACAAACAGAGCTTGTGGGTTTTGGTGCAGCTGCGGACAAAAGCAACCGCTTCATCTCAGGTGATGAACTAGCAAGCTGAAGCGGAGTGCGCTGGTCGTTGTCACGAGCATAGACCGAAGCGCCGTGTTCAATGAGAACTTGGGCTGCTCGCAGTCTGTATTGCAAAATCATATCACCAGAGGTGCATTCATGGTAGTCGTCCACCACCATTCCCACCACATGGTGCAGTGCTGTACGTCCCTCTTCATCCCGAACATCGATGCTGAAGCCAAAGTCCAAGAGGATCTGCCAAACGTCTGGCAAGCTTGGTGGAAAATCGTGGAAGACGTTGGCCAAATCTGTGAGTTCTGCAGTTCTCACCTCAGCATGATGTTCCACAAGAAGTGCAACCACATCCTTGTGACCGTGAGATGCTGCAGTGAGAAGCGGAGTGAAGCCCATAGAGTCACGGGTGTTCACATCAGCTTGATGCTCAATCAGCCATTGGGAGATTTCTAGTTGCCCATGCCCCGCAGCAACATGCAGTGGTAATTCTCGACCCAAACCAAGTGTCAGCAATGGAAATTTCTTCGACAACTCCAAGTCGCCTCCGGAACTCGCCGCATGGAACTCCTCAGGGACTTCAATCATATCCTCGCCAACCACTCCTAGCCGGTCCAGCTGCTTTGGGCCAAATGCAAATGAGTCGGGGACACCAATATCCTCACGCGTGCCAGGGAGGAGTTCCGTCTCGGCCGGGTGGGCGGACGTTACGCTGGCCATAAGGAACCCGTGGCCCAAGGGAGGCCAACGCAGCACTTTGGGTGGGCAAGAAAACTGGTTCCAACATGTTCCCACCTGCTCCACTTGAAGAAGCCTACATCTAAGATCGTCCAGGTTTGATTGATGAAGAGCGAGCGTCAATAAGGAATGCCTGCCTTTTTATCAAGGTTGTAGAACCAGTCAAAACACCTCTACACATGGTTAAACAAAGCTACTTGCAAGTTGCAAGCAGTTTTGTTTCATCATTCTGAATCATTCTCACTTGATGATGCACATCGACGTGGATATCTAGAGGGCTCCTTGAGCCTGAGCAATGCGTCGCCAGGGCCCTCGAGGGTGACACTGTTTCGACTCCAGCGGATCATGGGGACTAGCTTCTCTTTCTGCCCCTCAACCAACCAAGCGATGGCCTCCAACCTACTAGCTTCTGCTTCCTAGTAGTAATGCCAGGAGCTACGTGCGTAGCTTCTTGTTACTAGTAGCATCTAGTAGCGATGCCCTTGTTACTACTAGCTTCTTGAACAGTTGGACCATGCAGGTCTTCGTCCCCGGCCCTCCACACCGACCTGGGCTGGGCCACGATGGCTGCAGGCGGTATCTGCTGCCCCCACCTTGGAGTCTGCCAGGATCGGAGTAAGCAAGGAACATGTCCAATCCAGGAGTCGCAAAGCTCGGGGTTTAGGGTTTAGTCTCTAAGTGAGTGGATGTCCAGGGCACTCCCTCACCTCCATGGATAGCATGATATGTCCTTTTGCCCTAGTTAGTTGTCATTGATATCCCAAGTCCACATCGTCCACATTGTCCACGTGGTCAACAAACCTGCTCCGCATGGTCCACATGCCACCATGAGCATCGCTAGCCAGCATCGCTTCTTTTCTCAGCGAACTGCGCCATGGACCTGGCGCCATGCGTCGTGGAAGACACCGGCAGCACCGTAGCTCCGCGCCGAAGCTTGACGCTGCGCCTCAAGCGACGTCCAGTGGCCTCCAGGGGCAGTCAGTGACTATAGCGGTGCAGCTGACGCTGGGAGTGAACAAACTTGACTGGTCTTTTAATGACAGATTATGATGGCGCAAATGAGGAGTACCGCATTGACAATATTGGTGAGAGTGCAGTAATATATAGGACCAGTGTGGCCAGAAAATGTAAAGATGTTTGAGGGCTGATGCTTGTTTAGCATCGATGTTCCTGTTTGGCTCGTGGAATCACCACGATCGCATTCATTCTATTTCGCCGGCACCAAGATGCCACGCACGTGCATGTTTGAAGAAAACACCAACATCAAAAACACATGGTGCACCCATGAATCAGTTCGAATCACTTAAACACAAAAGTATAATTACTAAACACAAATCAAAAAAAACATGTAATACATTGTCTCAATACTGTGCCTTTGGGGGGTTACACTAAACATACCGTAGGCAGTGTTTAAACTTAAATTTAGTATCCCACACAGAAATCAAATTCTATCAAGGTCATCAACACGTATTGCTGTCGGCACCCTTCTGCGCGCTTGCAAGGTCTAGTTGAAACATGTTGAAACCAAAGAAGTTGAGTCGAACAAGCAAAGCCAATACACACATAGTCAAGGTTTTATCAACACAAAACGCCTAGATTGTTCCTTGAAGGGAACTTCCAGCTTCCAATAAGCAAAGAACCCAAGAAGAACAAAAGTAACTGTCAGTTGTAATTATACCGACGGAGGGAAGGTTAGAACGGGGGCCGAATCCCAAAACGTTATTCCCCGTCACTTGGAATGCGCCTGAAATAGTCTTAGAATGCCACCGCTTAGATTTTTGTAACCACTTCGAAAGGGTTTACACTGGGAATAAACAGTCCAAACACAAATAGAATGCACATACATACATGTGACAATGGGAATATATAATCACATATATACAAAAGAAAAGAAAAAAAAACACACATATATACATATATAGCCCATAGATTTCTAGAATTGATGGACAATATCAACAAAAAAGCTGATAAGTCGGTCACCCATATATAGGCACGTATATTTATTCAAAAAAACACACACTCTTGGCATGGTGCTTCCACAAGAGGTATGATGTGAGTAGATCCTGGTCTTTGCTTGAGTGTTTTTTTCCTTGCAAGCTTGTTTCAAGCGACGGACATTTTCCCTTCTCTTGTCAACACGTCGGAAGAGTTCACCCCGCCAGCGCACAGTCATTCCACAGATAGAATGCCCATATAATTGCACGCATGTGTACATATGTCAGGCAGAAGATGTGTGTACATAATGTTTGGTTGATCCTGGCGCTTGCACCCTTGTTTGAAAGGACTCCAAATCAAGGCTGCTTAACCCTTTTTCTTGTCAACACGTCGGAAGAGTTCACACCACCATCAGTGCACAGTCATTCCACAAACAGAATGCCCATATACTTGCACGCCTGTGTACATATGTAGGCAAAAGATGTGCGTACATTATAATGTTTGGTTGATCCTGGCGCTTGCAAACTTGTTTCAAAGGACTCCAAATCAAGGCTTACCCCTTTTTCTTGGCAACACGCCGGAAGAGCTCACACCACCGCCAGTGCACAGTCATTCTACAGATAGAATGCCATATACTTGCACGGTTGTGTACATATGTGGGCAGAAGATGTGTGTGCACAATGTTTGGTTGATGCTGGTGCTTGCACCCTTGATTGAAAGGACTCCAAATCAAGGCTTGCCCCTTTTTCTTGTCAACACGTCGGAAGAGTTCACACCGCCAGTGCACAGTCATTGCACTGATAGAATGCCCATATATTGTCATGCATGGGCAGATAATGTGTATATACATACATTGTGTCACCACAGCTATGGAAGGAGGCGCAAAGTCAACTGCCATGAACTGCCAGCTGCACTGATTAGTGATTATTTTCCTCTTTGACTCAAAACCACTTGGAGGATGTTTGCAGATCCTTCAATCGATGTTGGGTTTCAATATGTTTATAGCGACGAAGTGAAAGATAGATGACTGTTTGGGACCAGGGGGGAATGAAAATAGAGACCGGGATTGCACGCGGTTGCCATGCATTTGCCACGCATTCAAGTGGTAGGCATACAAGTGGGAACATACCTGGGCGTAGCTGTTCACAAGGAAACTCTGGAGTCAGACCCCGTCACTTGCCAACTCACCCAACTTGCAGGATGCATGCTTTCCATAGCTCTCTCTCTCTCTCTCTAAATGCCCCCCCGATCCAGCCAGATACAGCCAGAAATGCCGCCAAGTTCTACGGACTAAAGTTCTATTATATTCTACTTCACACGTGTTCTTGCTACTATGGACGCATTCTATCTTCAACAGGCTCCGAATGCGTGGCTCCGTCGTGCAATCCCAGTCTCTATCTTCATCCCCGCGCGGTCCCAAACGGTCATTCTATCTTTCACTCCGTCGATATAAATGAGCAAGCTTTAGACGTCAACCGTTTTGCCTCACATGTTGGATCATCCTAGCTGGACCATCTGGACCTATCTTCACATGTTCACATCGGGGTATATCGGGGTCAAACATGTCAACCATGGATTCCGATAGAATGGACGGCCCCACATCGTGCCTCCTCTCTGTAGAGCTTCAAGTCTCCTCCTGGAACAAGACTTGCTAAGATTCATGGCTGTTGGGACTGGAAATTGATATCACATCATCCCAAAGCAAAGGGGGGCATCCGATTACCCTTCCTGAAACCAGCAACGGAAGTGAAAAAAAAAAGACTCTTGTCCTCTACAAACAGGTGGATGTCCACTTCCATGAATCTTTCTAGGGGTGTCATTTTAGAGTATTAAAATGCATTAAAGCATGATTCTCTCTTCTTGACCTTTTGACAGCTTTTGCATGCTTTCGATGAAGTCCATGGTATGACAATGTACGTGCCAGCTGACATGTGGTTGATCCGTGGGTGTCAGCGCTGCGTGGGCTCCTCTTCGCCCCGCAAAGCCCAGCCGAGTTCAGGCCCCCGAGGTAAGAGCTTGGCGCCGGGCATCAACTCGAAACGCTCCTGGCCACGTGCCGAAAACCACGACGCAACGACGCACGAGTGGGGAGGAAGTGGCTGGACACGTGGAGGTGGCTGGACATGTGGATGCACGTGGGAGGTGGTGGAAGAGGCCACGAATGGAGGAAGATCAAACTGATACAAGCTGATCGCTAAGGCGAGAACGTGTCTTCTGCAGAATGATAATTTGATATGACGTCTTATTTACATACAATGTATGTCATATACGTTTACCCATATTTACCCATATTTACCCTGTCAATCCCTGTCACTCTCATCGCTTTCTTCCACATCTGCCGAGTGCTCCAGTCCGCCTCGGTCCAGTCCGCCAGGCGCCGCTGGAAATCCTTGCGTTCCTCCGGTGACAGGCGCTGGGCATCGTCCTGGTCCGCGCGCAAGGCCTCCGACCGAAGCGACAAGGGCCACGCGACCCGAAGCGGGTCCAACGGAACCGGCCAACGGAAGCGACCAGCTCAGCTGCTGATGGGTGGAATTGAGGTGATGGTTCGGAAAGAGGTGGGAAGAGGTCAGCGGTGGGTATGCATCCTGACTGGAGATCCGAATTCGTTTCTAGACACCTCGGGAGAACGGGGTCGAAGAAAACCACTAGATGCATGAACGAAGGTTAGTGCCTCGGACACATCGGCGAGCTCATCGTAGTTCTTGAGCATCAGGGGATGCTGGAGACAAAGCCTCAGGTTGCCACACAAACCATGTTGAAGTCCTCAGTCTGCTGAGGTATGCTGAGGTGACTGTGGTGTCTTGGAATGTCTTGGACCATTTCAGCTCCTCACCACTCGACCATTTCAGTAAGAACATGGAAACAGCACTACTATCAGCACTACTACCAGGACCTTCCAAGGGGCATCTATTTATAGCCCCGAAAAGGTGAAGGATGGTGAAGGGGTGTCCATGAACCACCCCTTGGGGGGTCCTGGTATCATTGCTCATTACCCCTACCATTGATCATACTCACTGAGTTGGGAACTACCATAAATCCGATAGATCGGAGTCCCACCGGAGTCCCACGTCACCCTGCTCCGCTCACGTCACCCGCGCCACGTCCGGAGAGTCACGAGATAGCGACCCGACCCGTCCGACGGCCGCCGAGGAGCGCAAAGGGCCTTTCCCAGTCGCCGATGGACTCCTGAGCTCGGCCGAACCATCATGACGACTCAGCGGCGTGAGCGCCCCAAGCGATTCAGCGGCAGCATGCGTGAGCGGACATGTTTTGGATTTCAAGACCTGTGGCAAGACCTGTGGGCAGACCCACAAAAAGTGGCTTGAATGCGACGGTCTGCTGTGTTTTTTTTGTGTAATGTTACTGTTATTCTTTCGTTTCCTTTGGACTACAAAGGAGTTTTGATGAGAGTTGGAGGGAGTTGCAAACGGTGCACATCTGTCTCGTGTGTTGTGGCAGCAGGGAACCTGCGACAGGTCCAAAAATCCAAATGGGATGACTGGTGAAGCAAAGCTAGGAAAGGACATGAAGGATGCACCCAATGACCTGCAAACACCATCCACCTATCATGACACACGCATCAAAAAGAACCAAACGCTGACATAGGACATCTTCTGGAGCACCTCTTCCACTGTCAACATCGTCGTCATGTCTGTCGTTTCTGTCGCACCTTGTGCTTCATCAGCACAATGGCCAGCGCATGTCCTGCCGCAGGAGTGAGTTCAAGTCTTCTGCACTTGCCGTCTCCCTGTGCAAAGCTCATGCGGCCGCAGTAGAGACGGATTGACAAATGCTCCATGCATGAGGGGATATGTTTTAATATGGATATGTTAATCCGTCTCAACCGTCTGGAGTACATGCATGGGTATGCAGCATGGGTTTGGATATGTTTAATATGGAACAACCCAACCCAAGTTAAACTCATTTGACTGAGAGGCTAAAATGAACCACGTGTATATAGACTGTTTGAGTGCTGATACACTCATCACCCCCAATCCCCGCCTCTTTCATACAAGGGTACTCATGTGTAAATCCTGGAAGATTGACGCAGCAGGCTTTTGCAGTTCCCTATATTATGGTTCGGTCATAGAGCCATACGGTAGGGATCAGTACGGAATTGTTTGTTGTTCCCACCCACGCAATGGTTCCGCCGGTCGCAACATCCGCCGAAAGTCGTGCCTGGTGCACCTGGGTTCTGCTGCCGGTCACGGAAGCGGTCGCAGGTGGTCATGCCCCAAGTGCTCCTCGCGCTCGCTCCGCGTTCCACGCAGGACCGATGCAGCGGCAGCTTCGTTCGAGACGTCAAGACGATGGACGAGACGAGACGCGTTCGTTTCATTCTGAGTGGATGGCTCAGAACCAGGTTCTGCGGAGGTTGGTTGTTGCACAAGTGCACAAGAACTGAGCTTCTGCAGCTTCTGCAGCTTGATTTCCATTGCGACAGGGGTGTCAAATCAAACGCCACAAAGAACACCTCTTTTGCCGAACAAATCAGAACGCTCCGAGACTGCTCCGAGACTGCTCCGCGTCAGCTGCGTCTTCTACGCTGGGAATCCGGGCTCTTTGGGGTTGCAGCGGCCATTCAGCATGGCCCAAATGATGGGATTCTGCGGGTCGCTCTGCAAATAGATGCTGATGCGATCCTGGGGTGTTCAAAACCGTGTCCCAGCACTGCTTTTGTGCACCAGTTGCTTTGAACACCTTGAAGGAATGATTGAGAAATGACTTAACTGAGAAACCTCAAGATGTCCTCAAAAATGTACGTTGCATGATACAGTACATACATGATTCATCATGATTCTGTAAAAAGAGAAAGGGCGTTCGCACCTTCCTTCTTTTCAGTGCGTCCGTGCGCCCGTACGTGACTTACTCGTGTTAGGCCGTCCTCCAGCACATCAGCCGCCAGCAGCTCTTCCAACCTGAAGCCGTCGGTCTTAACCGCAGGATTTGATTGGAACATGTGGAGGGATAGACGGGGATTTGGTGGGTGTGGTCAAAGAACAAAATCCGACAAACTGTCACTCATCGCAAAAAAACAGCGCTCAACATCCTCCTCATGATCGATCCACACGTCTCAGCTCTTCCATGCCGGAACACAAATGCGGACACAAAGAACATCAAAGAACGCTAGGAGCAAAGGGCATCGCTACGAACGGAGCCAAGGACGCTACTAGGGGCTCCTGGGCTTACTATAGGAGCAAGAACGGTAGTAGTGTGTTTTCTTTGATAGGGAGGTCTCCAACCAATGGGTTTTGCGGCTTGCTCAGACCTGTTCAAGCCATCTGTCTCCCCCCCAGCTTTGTGGACTAAATGCAGACTTACATGGATTTACCCATGGATGACACATCCAACGTAAGTACCTATTCCATTCAGCTCTGAGATGAACCAAGCAGGACCCCGGCTTCCAAGGCGTCCGCCTGCACTGCATGCATCCGCCCGCCCGCACCGCGGGACCTGATCCTTGCGCCGAGCCACGGTAGGATCCGCTGGGCCACGTCGAGGGCCTGGAAACGCGGTCGGCGCGTTCTCCTACACCAGGTCGAAATGGTTCTTGGTTCACCTCGTGAAAATCGGATCCCGGTTCCCTGATCTTCCCAAAGGCGTGACTCAGGGATTTGATATTCTGATGTATTCTGTAACTATTGCAAGAACACGTGTATAAAATACATGGCATAGTATAACCGATATTATATCTCTACACAAAATATATACTCCGTACTTACAAATCTTACAAGTACTTATCTATACTATCAGTACAAGTACATCTTTTTTCTAATACTCATAGTCTAGATCGCCTGTATGTTTCGTCGGACAGGTGACCTGCGGAACCTGTCGGCTTGGCTGTGAGTCCAGCTATCCTAATCCGAGCAGCTCCTGGCCAGGGAACTGAAATGAACCATCAGGGCCTGTTCATGATATCCAGTTAACATGACATTAAGCCATAAATATTGCTTCTGCTGCATGACAGGACTTGCTCTTGGCAGCAATGAGCGACGATGATGGAGAAGGAGGAGATGATGTAGAGACGTTTTAAAGAGTAGAGTACTCACACAAAGAGATTGTATCATCTGAGAGACGAAGCACGCGAGCAACAGGAATCACTAGACTTCATGAGAGTGGATGGAGTTTCTCACTCTGGCCTAGCTTCACACAGTTGTTACAGGATATATCATGATACAAAGTATGCTTGGACTGTTGAACTGCAGGTGTGGTGAAGTTGATTGCTTTGACCGGCGGGCTATACAGGACTAATCTCCAAGTAAAAAGAACACTATATTGGCTCCCAGCAGATAGAACTCATGACTCATGACCAATCATGCCTGTGAATTAAACAAGGGAAAGATCCCCTTGTTTAGCCGGGGGGGGCAAACACATTAAAATAATATCGCCGGAAACCGCCCTGGGTTTGGGAATCTTTAGGACATGTCTTCCAGTGTCGGTTCCAAAGAAACCATGGCCATCCTGTTTTGGCGGCCTCTGCATCAAAGTGCACCCGCACGGTCATGGACTTGCGGTCCTGCAGATCGCAAGACCGGTCTGGGGATCGAGTGGACAATGGGTGATACTACCATCCAAATCCCATTGAGCGAAAAGGAGACATAACTGTGCCATTAAAAACGTGCTGCCCTCCCCCCCAGATCTTTTACTGTTTCAACCACATGGCACGCATCCACATGGTTGCAAACCATGAAAAGCTTTTGACTGGACTTGGTTGATTTTGGTGTTTTGGGGGCGTCAAACACACATTATAATTACTCTAAACTCTTGGCTCCCTCACTTTCTACGCTTTCTATAGAAATAGTTCAATGCTTCTAGATTCTAGAAACAACCACCATGTCACGGTCCAAGCCTGCTGAGTGTCGACTGCAACGCACAAATCGTCTGGCGCCTTATGTCTTCAGAGAGCAAGTCAACATGAAGAATCCTTTGGATGATCAACAAGCAACAAGGTGATGGAAATAGATAGCCACCAACCCATGCGCACGGACCACGCAACACAACATCCAATGTCATTGATGGAAGAAGTGGACAGCAGCCCAAAAATCCACATGAATTTTTACAACTTATGACATTTACCCCTCGGATGCCAAAGGGCAATCATTGGCAGTCAATCCAGTTCCGGATTCCAAACTCACCTGAGGCCTTGACAAAAAGCTGGCCTGATTCGCGGCCGCGCACGCAGGGTGACGGTTTGGCCCGTTTTGCGACAGGTTTTTGTCTGTCACGATGTCGCCTCCCCAAAGGCTGATATCAAGTATAGATCAACGAACCTCAAAGTGAAGGAACCTGGTAGAACGGATGGGTTCAATAAATATATTACACATTTCTATTACAGTGGGGTTCAAAGTAGAACAGGCCTTGGAAATTGAACCCATAACGTTATTTGCTTGTCCCAATAGAAACAGGGATGCTTTCGCATGTCATCGGTAAGTCTGATAAAGTCCCATGACATGGCAGATCCCCATGGCAGTCCCCATGGCACCATGGGTCGATTCGTCGGATACGAGTCTAATAAGTCGATCCGGTTGATTGTTTTTTTTTTTTTTTTATAAGTGGTTTAAATGTCAACACAGAGTCAACATGTACAAGCAAAAGCCGTCAATGTTCAATTGGTCATTGCAAATCGCAACCTGAATTCATCTCATCGTCATGTCCGGCAAAATAAACCCTGCAAAATAAACGGCCTACAAACATATTCAATAACGAGAGCTTTGCGGTCGATCTTTGAACGAAGGCTGCTCCATTCTTCCAACCGCCGCCGCACGACCTTCTAAACGCCGCAGCCCACCGAAACGGACGGCACGAGTGAAGCGAGTTCAACGACGCGCGAGAAAAACGCGCACACGACGCGCGGTTCACACGGGGACGGTGGCGCCTCCACCAGGCATGGAGCGTTTTGGAAGACCCTGTGGCACATCGATCAGCTCCGTGCGCTGCGCCGTGGTCTGCGTGGGCGGAGAGGAGCTGTCGGGGTGTGGTCGACTCCCTGAAAGAATTCATAGTTACGTGGATGGAAAACAGGGGAAAGCTACCTTGGTATTCGGAAAATGGATGCCATCCACTTAGGATGATTCCAGGGAGTGTAGCTTTTCACAATGTCCTGCTTGCTGCCTGTGATCTTCTGTTTGTTCAAGGTGTGGAAGCTGACTACTTGGAAGGGGTCGTTCAAAATGGGCACACCAAACTGGAACTGTGGCTGGCTATAATACTCCCTGGCTCTTTGAGCCGGGAGTGCTCAAAAGTATATCCACTGGTGAGGCCAACAACAGTACAATAATGTACTTGGGGAGGGGTAAATGTTGCTTGCTTTAGTAAATGTGACTTGGGGTCTATCAATCTGTGGATGTTATGTTGAATTTCTTCATGGTTTGTTGTGCAATGATATTGCTTGTGTATGAGACAAGCGGTCTCGTGATTTTGAGTGATTGATCCTCCGTCCAATGTCTTGAAGTCTTAAAAACGGAGGTGTCTAAATGCAAGGATAAATGCTCAAGAGTTGTTTTTTGTTCCAACCAAACCAGCACCTGAACTCGATCTGAGTCCAGCAAATAATCATAATTATCATGTTTTCAGATGTTTTCTCAGAATCGCTGATATTGAATTCCCGTAGTGTCCTGCATAAAGCAACGCAATATTAAGCAGCGCAAGAGATGGAATGTGATGGAATTACACTGAAACACCCAGCAAAAAACGTGAACACCACGTTGAGCGACTCCACCTTCCATCTGGCCGTGCCTGAGCCGCTTCCATCGCCGGGGTCCAGGCATAGCCACTCCTACAGTTTCTGCGAAGCAGCAACGCTAGACTCATATGACATGGAACACCACCACTTTTCTTTTGTATCTTCGACAGCAAAAAGAGGACCACATTAACTCATAGATGCTTGTGGAGATCATCTCCCACAAAAAGTGGTGTTGTGTGGAATCAACGCGGGTGCTATAGCAAAATATGCTCCATGAAGAACATTGTCGCCACTCCCACCTCGCTGCCGGATGTTTCATTTCCTTGCTGTACCACCTCAGGCCATATTATGCGATGTGCTGCTGCGGTGATGCCGATCGCAAGGTGTATATCAAATGATATGTTTGATTATTATTTGATAATATGCTACAACAAGTCAATAAACATCTCTCAAAAGCGGACAAAAATGAATTTTCTTCATCAACATGAATCAACCAACAAGTCTCCATAACATGTAATATAACCATATAATATATATAATAACCAAACTGCCTGATACTGTCTGCTCTTCCTCAGTGCAATCACATACAATCACCGGAACAGCTGGGTCGCCCGAACAGCTGTGGCCAACTTTTATGAGCACCTTTGGCCAACTCGAGGTGGAAGGTGATCCTGGCATTGTGGATTTCTGCCAGAGCGGAGTTCAGTTTCTTGAATAGGCTGGATGTTCAGCCTGAAAGACGGTCCAGGTATGGTACTGAACCCACCAGCCCGCCGGTACACCACTGGAGATGTTCAAATCGTAGGACAATGTGTCTTCTCGAGGAAAGGGACTCGCCTTAAGACAATGTTTACATCCATCAAGTCAATTTGGGATGTGAGTAATGAGTCATGAGTGATGAGTAAT